ACAGTTACCTGCATATTGTCGGGCTTTCTCCCAACCTGAAATCAAGCAGATAGGGAGCGATGAGAACTGCCCTGAACACAAACTTGCTGAATAGAAAACAATCTCTAACAACGTTTATGATAAGAGAAAAATATATTTCTGTACGATAACTGCCTATTAGCAAAAACACAAATTTATTTACCTGCATTTAGTAGAGCTCTTCTCCACTCTGAAACCAAACAGACAGAGAGATGAGACCTCACCTGCACACAGACACTCCGAATACGAGACAATTTTGTAGCAAGGTTTATATTAGAAATAAATGACAACTTACTGAGTTCACCCTGCAGTTTCTCTAAAAGTAAAACAAAGAGAAACGAGTAAACATATGATAAAAGAAAAAGGAGGTTATTCAATAAGATCCCACACCACACAAACCAAACTGACTCTCAGTTCATAGTGAGAGCTCTGAATACCTGCCCTGCGGGTCTATGAAACTTGTTGTAAAGTTTGAGATTCCCCCTTCCCTACCCATTGCAATGAACAAAGGGACCTTACCTTGCTCTGCATGATGTGCCCCTGCAAGTGAATAACAGGAGAGATGAGTTACAAGGTAGAAGACTTATCTTCAATTATTGCAAACTCATAGGAATAATTTTTCTACTGGTAGAAAGTAGAACACACACAGAGGTGCTCTGCCTAGCTATTCCCAGCATTATACTGGGGACACAATTCCTAGTTCAGTTAAAATGCTGAGTAAATAGTCGTCTCCTTTCCGTTTTGGCTGAGAGAAGTGAGGCCCCACACTGACCTCGATGGCATTTCTGTCTGTCTGCAATGAGATAACTTTTGAAAACCACGTCCCATCAGCTCCAGCGTTTCAGGGCATGTTCTAGGCACCAGTGGGCAGAAACCTCCTGATGTTGGTGAAAACCGGAGAACTGTAAAAGCCTGATTTCCACTAAACTCACCGTTCGATCCCTCAAGATACAGGGTGAGGCAGTGACCTCAGGGTTAGGGTTTAAGCTGTGGGTGAGGTTAGAGTTAGGGTCAGCAGGCCCCTCAGCCCACTCCAGTCACCCCCGCCCCAGCTGGGCTTCTTGCCCCAGTGTCAGCCGGACACCCCGCTGGTCTCCTCACCCCTGTATTCCAGCCAGGCCGTCCTCATCTGCGCTCTGGTCTGAACTCTATTGATTTGGGTGACAATCAGAAAAGCCTGATTTTAGTGGAAATTAGTTTTCTCCAGTTTTCTGCTTTTCACCAAGCTCGATAAGATTATGGCAGAGTGGGGAGAAGAGGGACCCAGTTGAAGGGGGATGGAGAGGGGGAGGAGCCCAGCTGGGATTACTACTGGGCCTATGTAATCAACAAAATGTGCTCCCCTCTTGTTAAAGATTTGCCACATCATTACGCTCCGTGACCTAAACTCTCAGGGTGAGATTTTGTGCTCAGAACCTGCAGCCCAGGAGCATGTGAGGGCTCAGGCAGCTTTAAGCCCTGCCCCGTATCCTCCTGATCCCGGGTGCTCTGGATGGCAAATTAACTCCCGCAGTAATGCAGGGCTTGTCTGCATGGGAAGGTTACATCAGTACAAGGTAAGGTGGCAATTTAAACCGCTCTTGTTACACCGGTATAACGCCCATGTCAACACACACATTCCATAAGAAGAGTGAGTTTTTCTGGCTTCGTTTATGTAATATCAGAAACTGCTCCTGGCTGGCAGGGGAGCACCGCAAACTCGCAGAGGCGAGACATCAGGAGCTGCTGCTCTCCTGCCCTCCCCTTACACAGCCCAGGCGGGGAAAGTGACCTGGGATGCAGGGAACCCTGACATCGCTCCTCGATCCCCCCCCACACACACACACACACAGCCCCTAGGGGTGTGCAGAGGAGCAGTGTTCAAGGGTGGGAGGGAGCAGCAATGCCAGATGCTCCATGCATTCAGGTCCCTTTTCCCACATGGGCGCAGGAAGGGGGTGCAGGGGTTAGGGACACAGGACGGGGGCAGGGGTTAGGATGCGCAGGAGGTGGGGAATCAAGCAATTAGGGGCACGGGGGCTGGGGTTGGGGCAAAGGGGGCACAGTACAGGGGTTGGGGACACAGGATGGGGGCAGGGGTTAGGAGCGCAGGAGGTGGGGAGTGAAGGGATTAGGGACATGGGGGGCTGGGGTTGGGGCAGAGGGGGCACAGTGCAGGGGTTGGAGTGAAGGGGGAGCCCATGGGGGCCAGGATCACTGGGGGGCACCCACAGGGAACAGGGAAATGGGGGGAGCACTATGCCCATGGGGGCCAGGGGCACCAAAATACAAGTCCACCCAGGGCACCATTTTCCTTAAGGCCCAGCCCTTGCTCTGTGGTCCCGCCCTGACACACCCCTCTTGTTCCCAGTCCATCTCACATATGTCCCCTAGCAACTGCTTGCTTTGCTGGTGCCTAGAGCCGGCCCTGATGCTGACACACTCTCTGTCCCCTAAAACATACTGTCTCTCCCCCACCTCCATACACACACACACTCTCTGTCACACACTCGGCCCACCCACCATTCAGTTGAAAAGCAGCTGTAATAGGATGTCATGGAACAATGGGATTGGGAAACCTACATCATGTGACACTGTGCCTGCCCCATAATGCATTGCAAACCTTTCCCAAAGCACCCTGCGGCCAGTTGCACAGTGGGATAGCTACCACAATGCACTGCTCTCTTTGCCCTTGCAAGAGCTGCTAATGTGGATGCGTTCCACCGTCACAAGGAGCACAGTGTGGACACGCAACAGCGGTTTAATTCCAGCGCTTTAGTAAAAAAAGTGGTATAACTTGTTGAGCAGAAACTTGCCAGTGTAGACATACCCATAGATGGGCACTATATTTGCCCTTTCCCAGTCTTCTGGAATCTCCCTCATCTTCCATGACTTTTCAAAGCTAATCACTAGTGGCTCAGATATCTCCACAGTCAGCTCCTTGAGTATTCTAGGATGCATTTCATCAGGCCCTGGTGACTTGAAGACATCTAATTTGTCCAAGTAATTTTTAACTTGTTCTTTTCCCTATTTTATCCTCTTCTGATACTACCTCATTTTCCCTGGCATTCACTACACTAGACGTTCAATCACCACCAACCTTCTTGGTGAAAACGGAAACAAAGAAGTCATTAAGCACTTCTGCCATTTCCACATTTCTGTTATTATTCGCTCCCCCCCCATCAAGTAATGGGACACAGACTAAACCAGATCACACCTGGTGCTGACAGAATGTGTAGGTGACAGTTCTAAAGGTGCAACATCCAGTTCCAATTTTCACAAGTACAAAGCACAAGTAAACAGCACAGCTCCTCTCTGCTTCTCTGAATTACCTGCTTCTGTCCCCACTGGGAAATCATTGTAACAGACATTTCCCCTTCCCAATGCTTCCGACACTGGTACATTTCTACATGCAATTCACAGCACTTCAGGTGAGAAAACCCTGCGGGTGGGACTTTCACAGCTCCCTTGGGGG